AAAAGCCTTCAATCCTAATTCTAGTGAAAAAGCCCTATTCCACCATCAAATTAGACACATTACCAATATGTCATATTTTGACCATCTCTTGACTGACCATGGTCAATGACAAGAGTCACGATACCATCCGCTTTAGAAAATTTGAAACACCCACCTGTAAAACCACGATGGTGCTGGCCATACTTAGTCATGTAAGCTCAAATTGTGAGATCTCCACCAATAATTCAGATAATCTTTTAAATTCAACAAAGAGGTGTTTAGCTGTTGGAAAATGGCCGGATCAAAGTAGAGAAGGGAATTTATGCTGAGAAAACTAGAGTTTATATCATAAAAAGAACCCTCTCCCGTCCAAAGCAGGTGTTGTCGCATTGACCCGAGTCTGCTAGCTTGCTAAGATGGTCAATTGATAGTTTTGTATCTATTTGATGAGTGTTTTATTATTATTATTATTATTATTTTTTTTTTTATAAGCTATATAAACTTTTATGAAATTAAGTGAAACCTCCCTATTTAATGTTCAAATATGTCCAATGTAAAATCTAAATTTACTTGAACCTAACAATAAGGAAATAAGACCAAATAAATTAATAGTGTGTAACATTTCAGGTAACAGCATTGTTACTGAAATGTCACACACTATATATTTATTTGAATTTGTCTTATTACCTTGTAGTTATAATCTATAATCCAAATACTGTGCCTTATCATTGAACCTTCATAAAAAGAAAGACGTACATGAAAACAGCCATGTTTTTTAGATATGAGAATGTCTGCTCCATTACAGTAAAAAAGAAGGAAAAAAAGTTTCAGGGAATTAGTTTCTTCCCTCTCATATCCTTTCATCTCTTAGACTGGAGATGATGTTTGTTTTAAGGCAGTTGTACTTTTTCAGGGTGTCGGTGGAAGGATGGTCTAAACCTTTAGTTTTCGACCGCTACGACCCGGGTTCGATACCCGCATTGGGCACTTTTTCTGATTAAAAAAAAGCTCCAATGGCCCCCGATTCTTGCAAAAGTCCAACCCCACCAGCAAGTGCAAGTTACCAAATGGGGCTCTGGCACATTTGTAAGTGCAAAGTCGAACTGGTTTTCACATGTGTAGACATGTGGTGCCCTTACAGTAAAAGCAGTCGCCTACCCACCATGATTATCATGGCCTGTACCACGTGTATTGAGGATAAGCAAAAAAAAATACTTTTTTCAGCCACTTTATAGAAAATGTTAGTGTCCATCCCAAAACATTCCAGTATAGGATGGGGTGTGGTAGTCTCTTTGATATTGTGTATTTTAGGGAATGCTCTATTTGGTTGGTGGGGGGATAAAGTGCAGGTAAACAAAAAGAATTGCAAATATTTTAAAATTACATTTTTGTTGAGACACTTACTGGGAAAGCAAAAAATAAACCGAAAAAAAGAGTCCCAATTATCATTAGTCCCAAATATGAATGTTTTGTTTCCACATATTTAAAAAAAAAAATTTATGAAAGAATTTTTGTTGGTGGTCAACGGTCATGTGGTACGGCCATATCTGATACAAAGATCATTCACCATTGAAATTTTCACTTTGTTAAGAACTATTATTTTCATATTTTTCAGACCACCCTTCTATTACATTATCTAACACCAATACTTCCTACCTCTCCCTTCATTCTTCAATCCCTCCAGTATGGTCAATAGAAGATCACAACTTCCTATCTTATAATTCCAGACCACCATTCTATTACATTATCTAACACCAATACTTCCTACCTCTCCCTTTATACTTCAAGCTGTGTATCCCTCCAGTATGGTCAATAGAAGATCACAACTTCCTATCTTATAATTCCAGACCACCATTCTAATACATTATCTAACACCAATACTTCCTACCTCTCCGTTCATTCTTCAAGCTGTGTATCCCTCCAGTATGGTCAATAGAAGATCACAACTTCCTATCTTATAATTCCAGACCACCATTCTATTACATTATCTAACACCAATACTTCCTACCTCTCCCTTTATACTTCAAGCTGTGTATCCCTCCAGTATGGTCAATAGAAGATCACAACTTCCTATCTTATAATTCCAGACCACCATTCTATTACATTATCTAACACCAATACTTCCTACCTCTCCCTTCATACTTTAAGCTGTGTATCCCTCCAGTATGGTCATAGACGGTCACATCTTCCTATCTTCTAAACCACTTCCTTCATACTTCAAGATGGGTATCCTTCCAGTATAGTCAATAGACAATATCCTCTTCCTATCTTCTAATTCCAGACCATCATTCTATCAGGTGGTCGAACCAATCTTTTTTTTTTTTTTTGTCTACCTCTCCTTTCATTCTTCAAGAAAAAATGGAAGCTATATTAGATAGACCTTGTGCCTTGTGCTAAGACAGCCTAGTTAAAATGATTGATTGGAGGATGCTTTGAAGGCACCAGAAAAAAAGATGATGCCCTTTTACTACATTTATGGACCAAATGGAAAGAGAAGCTAAGGCAACATCTTATCACACACATCCCTCCAGTCCTAGACCTGATGTTCCTCAGAGTACATGTTAAACTTTGGATTACTTCATTTATAAAAGGTGGCTCTACTCTCCATTTAAATCTACTCTAAACTTTTATTGTTAGTCAACCTCAACTGTCCAATGAAACCTGAGTATTCTTCTAGCACCCAAGATATCAAAAGAGTTCATTTTCCACCTCAGTTCACTGAGCATTGTCCATGCCTCACATCCCTTACAGGAAATCTTAACTAAACATCTTTCTTAATCACCCTTTTCTTCAGGTCCATCCTTAAATCCCTTCCTAAAAGCTCTTTTATTTCTTTAGAAAGCACCTTTAGCCTTTGCAATTATGACCTCAACTTAACATTCTTTTTTTTTTTCATCCTAATTTATGTTATTTCCAAGATTACTTTTCACTTCACATAGCATTGTTGTTTTTTTTTCTTTCTATTACAGTAGAACCTCCCTTTAGCAGACACCTCTCCACAAAAGACAGTTTTCATTTGCAAAATTATCATTTTTACAATTTAGCAACTCTCTAGTAAGAGGACACCTCTCCCTAAAGGACACTTTGGCTCTGCAATTAGGTGTCCTTTACAGGGAGGTAGTTCTACTGTATTATATATACACGTTGATCAGGATTAAATTTTTGTTTAGGGGGTAGCATATTTCAATAACTTAACCGGAGTTGACTGATAATTCCATGTATTGTAACTACAGTAGAACCTCCCTGTAAAGGACAACACCTAATTGCAGAGCCAAAGTGTCCTCTAGGGAGAGGTGTCCTCTTACCAGAGATACAAGGTAACCAGAATTTTTCAATTGCTAATTGAATGCCTGTAATACAAAATTGTATGGGAGGGTTGTAAAGAGCGTTTTTTTTTTAATTAGGAACCCCCCCCTGATTCTTACCCTTCCCCAGGCAAATAATCTAAGGCTGTGTAAAGGATCGGTTTTGACATGTTTGTTTTTGTTATCTCTCAGTGGATTTGTGTTGATAGCTGTGATTTGGAGGTTTTTGGTTGTTATCTACTGACCATTACCTCACCTTTATTTTTGTTCGGTCTATTATAGCTAGTTGTTCACTATGTTTGGTTGGTGTTTTACTCTTTTTTGGAAAGAAAATTTAGCTCTGGTTTCACAAATGTTTGTTTCGCTGTAGTTTGTATGGAAGATTTGGTTCTCCCCAGTTTCATTATGACAGTACATTTATGTTGATATTTTGACCTAGTATGAAGTAAAGTTTCCTGATTTTCACTATATAGTACAGTAAAACCTCTCTGTACACCTAGTTGCAGAGCAAAAGTGTCCTTTATGAAGAGGTGTCCTCTAACTAGAGAGTTGTTAAATAGTAAAAATGGTAATTTTGACAATGAAAACTGTTTTTTGTAGAGAGGTGTCCTCTCATGGAGTATGTTCTACTGTATACTAATGATTTAAAATTTTGTTGATTTACTTAACTCCTGCCACAATGCTTTGGTTGGTGTATTACTATAGTTTGGAAAGATGATTTTGTCCTGATTTTACCGTACTTTGGTATAAAATTTTGTTGTTGTTTTACTCTTATTTACTTTGGCAGGAAGTTTTGACGATGTTTCACTATACTTTGGCAGGAAGTTTTGTCGATGTTTCACTATACTTTGGCAGGAAGTTTTGTCGATGTTTAACTATACTTTGGCAGGAAGTTTTGTCGATGCTTAACTATACTTTGGCAGGAAGTTTTGTCGATGTTTAACTATACTTTGGCAGGAAGTTTTGTTGATGTTTTACCATACTTTGGCAGGAAGTTTTGTCGATGTTTTACTATACTTTGGCAGGAAGTTTTGTTGATGTTTAACAATACTTTGGCAGGAAGTTTTGTCGATGTTTTACTATACTTTTGCAGGAAGTTTTGTTGATGTTTAACTATACTTTGGCAGGAAGTTTTGTTGATGTTTAACCATACTTTTGCAGGAAGTTTTGTCGATGTTTTACTATACTTTGGCAGGAAGTTTTGTCGATGTTTTACTATACTTTGGCAGGAAGTTTTGTCGATGTTTTACTATACTTTGGCAGAAAGTTTTGTCAATGTTTTACTATACTTTGGCAGGAAGTTTTGTCAATGTTTTACTATACTTTGGCAGGAAGTTTTGTTGATGTTTAACAATACTTTGGCAGGAAGTTTTGTTGATGTTTAATCATACTTTTGTAAAACGAAAATTGTAATTATACCGTGAATGTTTCTTTTAAACAAAAATCGAAATTTATTTTAAAGAGAAATAACGACTATTTCTAACTTTAAGGATGAAGTATGAAAGGGTGAAAATATGAAAAGTAATGGCGAACGGAAAAATAAAAGTGTCCAGGGGCGGGAATCGAACCCACGACCTTCCGCCCACCGGGCAGATGCCATGTCCACTAGGCAACCCTGGACATACTCCCCGTTCGTAAATATTATATAAAGTAATTTAAAATACAATATAACGCGGCTGATGATTGTAAAACGAAAATTGCAATTATACCGCAAATGTTTCTTTTAATGCCTAGTGGACATGGCATCTGCCCGGTGGGCGGAAGGTCGTGGGTTCGATTCCCGCCCCTCGACACTTTTATTTTTCCGTTCGCCATTACTTTTCTTATTTTCACCCTTTCATACTTCATCCTTAAAGTTAGAAATAGTCGTTATTTCTCTTTAAAATAAATTTCGATTTTTGTTTAAAAGAAACATTCGCGGTATAATTGCAATTTTCGTTTTACAATCATCAGCCGCATTATATTGTATTTTAAATCATACTTTTGCAGGAAGTTTTGTCGATGTTTTACTATACTTTGGCAGGAAGTTTTGTCAATGTTTTACTATACTTTGGCAGGAAGTTTTATTGATGTTTAACTATTATTTTACCGGAATTTTTGTTGATGTTTAACTATTCTTTTACCGGAATTTTTGTCGATGTTTTACTATACTTTGGCAGGAAGTTTTGTCAATGTTTAACTATACTTTGGCAGAAGTTTTGTTCATGTTTAACTATACTTTGGCAGGAAATTTTGTCGATATTTTACTATACTTTGGCAGGAAGTTTTGTCGATGTTTTACTATACTTTGGCAGGAAGTTTTGTCAAAGTTTAACTATACTTTGGCAGAAGTTTTGTCGATATTTTACTATACTTTGGCAGGAAGTTTTGTCGACGTTTTACTATACTTTTGCAGGAAGTTTTGTCAAAGTTTAACTATACTTTGGCAGAAGTTTTGTCGATATTTTACTATACTTTGGCAGGAAGTTTTGTCGATATTTTACTATACTTTGGCAGGAAGTTTTGTCGATGTTTTACTATACTTTGGCAGGAAGTTTTGTCAAAGTTTAACTATACTTTGGCAGAAGTTTTGTCGATATTTTACTATACTTTGGCAGAAAGTTTTGTCGATATTTTACTATACTTTGGCAGGAAGTTTTGTCGGTGTTTTACTATACTTTTGCAGGAAGTTTTGTCGATGTTTAACTATATTTTGGCAGGAAGTTTTGTTGATGTTTAACCATACTTTTGCAGGAAGTTTTGTCGATGTTTTACTATACTTTGGCAGGAAGTTTTGTCAATGTTTTACTATACTTTGGCAGGAAGTTTTGTTGATGTTTTACTATACTTTGGCAGGAAGTTTTGTCGATGTTTCACCAAACTTTGGCAGGAAGTTTTTTCGATGTTTCACTATACTTTGGCAGGAAGTTTTGTCAATGTTTTACTATACTTTGGCAGGAAGTTTTATTGATGTTTAACTATTATTTTACCGGAATTTTTGTTGATGTTTAACTATTCTTTTACCGGAATTTTTGTCGATGTTTTACTATACTTTGGCAGGAAGTTTTGTCAATGTTTAACTATACTTTGGCAGAAGTTTTGTTCATGTTTAACTATACTTTGGCAGGAAATTTTGTCGATATTTTACTATACTTTGGCAGGAAGTTTTGTCGATGTTTTACTATACTTTGGCAGGAAGTTTTGTCAAAGTTTAACTATACTTTGGCAGAAGTTTTGTCGATATTTTACTATACTTTGGCAGGAAGTTTTGTCGACGTTTTACTATACTTTTGCAGGAAGTTTTGTCAAAGTTTAACTATACTTTGGCAGAAGTTTTGTCGATATTTTACTATACTTTGGCAGGAAGTTTTGTCGATATTTTACTATACTTTGGCAGGAAGTTTTGTCGATGTTTTACTATACTTTGGCAGGAAGTTTTGTCAAAGTTTAACTATACTTTGGCAGAAGTTTTGTCGATATTTTACTATACTTTGGCAGGAAGTTTTGTCGATATTTTACTATACTTTGGCAGGAAGTTTTGTCGGTGTTTTACTATACTTTTGCAGGAAGTTTTGTCGATGTTTAACTATATTTTGGCAGGAAGTTTTGTTGATGTTTAACCATACTTTTGCAGGAAGTTTTGTCGATGTTTTACTATACTTTGGCAGGAAGTTTTGTCAATGTTTTACTATACTTTGGCAGGAAGTTTTGTTGATGTTTTACTATACTTTGGCAGGAAGTTTTGTCGATGTTTCACCAAACTTTGGCAGGAAGTTTTTTCGATGTTTCACTATACTTTGGCAGGAAGTTTTGTCGATGTTTCACCAAACTTTGGCAGGAAGTTTTTTCGATGTTTTACTATACTTTGGCAGGAAGTTTTGTCAATGTTTTACTATACTTTTGCAGGAAGTTTTGTCGATGTTTCACCAAACTTTGGCAGGAAGTTTTTTCGATGTTTCACTCTACTTTGGCAGGAAGTTTTGTCGATGTTTAACTATACTTTGGCAGGAATTTTTGTCGATGTTTAACTATACTTTGGCAGGAAGTTTTGTCGATGTTTAACTATACTTTGGCAGGAAGTTTTGTTGATGTTGTACTATACTTTGGCAGGAAGTTTTGTCGATGTTTTACTATACTTTGACGAGGTATTTTGTATGTTCACTATAGTTTAGAAAAAAAGATTCTGGTTTCACAATAATAAAGAAAGATCTTGTTGATTCACATTTCACTTGCACTCATCAGTGAAATAGGAATTGTGTGTAAGTATGAGGTCATCTACTGAGAGTAATTTTTATGGGGGAAAAAAAAGTGTTTACACAGAGATTTGAACCTAGGACCAGGTGTGGGGTAAGGGGCCGATCCATCCATAGAAGGATTGTGTCCTCCTCACCTTCTCTTGTAGTGTAATTCTTTACGCAAGGGAAGATGATGTCATAGGTGTGTGGCTCCTACTGATGACCTCATATCTCTTGTGCAACTCCTCCAGGGCTGCCTAGTTTCACCCCTAGGAAGTAATTCAGTATCTGACATCAGATTGGTTTCTGGCGATGGTGGACTCTAGCAATTAAATATGGTGCAGCTTATCTTCCTGGTTGTTATTCTTGATTCCTAATGGAGTGATGGGTCCTGTTGATGAGAGTGAGAGAGGACAACAGGTAGAACGCAGCCTTATAGCATTTAGCTGGCCTTAGTGGAATGGTTTTCAAATATTGGACTTACTCGGAAAATAAAACTCCTGAAGTACTTCGCCCACCCGGGGTTACCCCCACTCTAATAACACAGTAAAGGACACCTAATTGCAGAGCCAAAGTGTCCTTTAAAGAGAGGTGTCCTCTTACCAGAAAGTTGCTAAATAGTAAAAATTGTATAATAGTAATAGACATTTATTAAAAATATTATTTATAGGGTGGGGGGCAAATATTCACTCGTGAAAATTTTCAAGTAAAACTGGGTCTCATTTGTCTTAGTACAGTCCCAACTTCTTTAATTCACTACGCCAAGGGATCAGAATTCAGAATTTTTGGTTGAATTAAAGTCCTTGTTGAATTATAGTTGGTGAATGTAAAATATCCTGATTGGGATTTGAAACCATTGTGGAATTAAAGTAAGTGCTGAATTATAGAGGGTTAAAAATAAAGAGGTTATTCTCTCTCTTTATAATATTTTGTTTTTGTTCAAATGGGGAAACTATTCAGTGGAACGACTTCTCTGTAAAGGACACCTAGATGCAAAGTCGTGTCCTTAGGGAGAGGTGTCTTCTCAGTGGAGAGTTGCTATATATTAAAAATGGTAATTTTGGGGATTAGAAAACTGTCCTTTGTAGAAAGATGTCCTGTAGCAGAAGTGTCCTCTCATGGAGGTTCTACTGTATTTTTTTTTCATACTGTGTCTCTATTTGTTTTTAAACCTCTCTGTAAAGGGGACAACACCTAGTTATAGAGCCAAAATGTCCTTTAGGGAGAGGAGTCCTCCTACCAGAGAGCTGCTAATAGGTAAAAATGACAATTTTGGTGATGAAATCTGTCTTTTATAGAGAGGTGTCCTCTAAAGGATCTACTGTAATATTTATGAAATATCTTGTTTACCTTATAAAAACTTTTTTTTTTTTGGCATTTTCTCAAGTTGGGCCTAAAAAGTTTTTTAATTTTTTTTATTGGTGGTTTGGTAACAAGGGTTCTGGATCTTGTCACCATTGGCCTTATAAAATGTCACCACAATCATCCTATGAGAAGATGGCCTCCTAAAACAACGACAAGATGGAGTTCTAATCAGAAATGACAGTTGATCTAGAAGGATTGCTATTTTTCCAAATCAAATCCAAAATGAGGCCCCTCGTAGCCTTTCCTTGATTGACAACTTAAGGAAAAGAGATAACATTGATCACAAACCTGTCTATGGTTCTAAGGGCCTTTACACACTACAGCAGAACCTCCATGAGAAGGACACTTCTCGTTAGATAGCACCTCCCTACAAAGGACAGTTTTCATAACCCAAATTACCACTTTTACTATTTATCAACTTTCTGGTAAGAAGACACCTCACCCCTAAAGGACACTTTCCCTCTGCAACTAGGTGTTGTCCATTAGAGAGAGGTATTTTTATTGTATCTGTCTCATAAGTTCCCCTCATCATGGAAATTTGTCTTATCTGAGGGTGAAATGAGGTTCTATGAGAGCTGAAAAATGACACAATGCCATTTATTAGTGAACACAAGCTTTAATCGAGAGTACATACAACTTTATAAATATTTTTTTATTATATTAACAAGGCTATAGCTCTTCCAAGGTCCCAAGAATAAAAACTAATGCTAATGGAAATCTAATGCTGCACATGACTGGTACAGAGCAAGAGAGACAAGCACTGGTTCTGTCTTTCCAGGGGAACAACAGTTATTGATTTCCAGACTTAAGTCTGCTCATCTACGGACAATGACTTTCCAGAATGGTTGCAAGGTTTTCCCACTATGTACTAAGTGCAATTCTCAACCTGCAACCTCATAATTGACTGTATTGGCTCATCTGTTGATGAGCTTTACTCATCCCTAGCAAACACCATCTCAAGATCCACAGTCTTGGTATCCTAATATGATTGTTGAGTGGAGACAAGAAAGAAGATACCTAATGCTCAAAGATGTTAGCAAAAAAACATATATTCACTTTTAAAGCTTTTATTTAACTTGCTGTCCTGCTGTTTTGTCATTTTGTCCACAAATATTGTAATCAATTTATTATATATTCACAGAGCACCTAGAAGTCTGAAACACTTGTTCTTGTAGACAACAATGCAAGTTGACCAAATTTCTGATTTCTGGGTG